ATTCTCTCTTATTTTATAGGTTCTTTTGTTGATACTAATGTTGGAAAAGCAGTTAGTGATCATTTCAGTGGAGACCCTTTAGGAAGTGCTTTTAATGTAACTGCATCACAATAAAAAAGTGAGAATTTTGATTTGAATATTTTAAAAAACATTTTTTAATTTGATTATTTAAAATTTTTAACAGGTATTAATAATTGGTTGTTATGCAATACATATTTTAGAAAAAACTTCTCATTTCAGATAGAAATTCTAACTGCCATTAATTTTCTGTAATTTATGCGGGTTTAGCTTTTGTTTCTGATTGCTGAAACTTATACAAGTACAATATTAGTTAGTAAAATAATTATCATTTGAATAAAATTAATATTATTACATTTTTCTTTTTTTATCCTTATCGTTTTTAAAAACAAGACAACTTATAGAAAGTGAATTAAATGTTTTATTTTGATAATATTGTACATATTAGAAACTTTTAATACAATTGATCAAATTTTCAGTTCAATCAGAATTTACAAATTATTACATTCTGTGAATATTGTTTCTTATGGGGGTAAATTATGAAAAAACAGCTATTCGACTCTGCAAATGCATTGCTTTAGATAGTATTCTTGAATTTTTTTTTTTTTTTATTAATTTTGCTGTCAAAACTCTATAAAAATAGAATTAAATCAAAATTTATAGTTTAAGGTTTATGAATTCCTTTTTCCTTTTTGTAAATTGGTTAAAAAATACATTTCTTATTAGTTTTAATTTAGTTTACTGTATTATACATTTTTAAACATAACTATTAATTTTAAAAAAAATTTCAATGCATATACATTCTATTTCACATATTTCTTTTGCTTAAAACTTATGATTCTTATTATATTAGAGCTAAATGTTTCGTTATACAATAATTTTAAAAATTGAGAAGAAATTTTAGATGTAGTAGATTATGTCTAGAACTACTGTATAGATTTGAGTGAAATTTACTATCAACATAATCAATGTAATTCAAATTCAATGACCTTTCAACAAATATAATGCCTTTTGCTTGATCAAGTATATTACTCATGTGAGTTCAAAGTATGAAATAGTGAATTAAAAAGGAAGGGTTTTTGGAGAGATATCGCACTCTGAAATTGCTCTCTAGAGTGTACAAATCATGCTTTATAGAGATCAGATCGAGAGACCTGATTATCAAATCTACTTGACCAAAGTCTGCACTTTTTTAGAAAATTGTCTACCTGGTGAGCTCTGTGTTGTCATGTGTTACCTTAAAATGAAAATAGGGATAACCTCGCCTCTGAAAAGTCAAACAAAGAGTATCAAGGGTTCTTTTTTATACCTTGTGCTAGTCAAAGTGCTAGTTTGTAAAATATATAGAGGGTCTGCAGCTATTCAGCATACGGCTTACTCGGACCACCAATACTAAGCTTCCATAATAGTAAATTTCTTAATCATTACACTGGTAACATTAGAGAATAGATAGTGGCGCCTTTGTTCAGAAGTGAAACTCTTTCATATGAAGAGAACCAGTGGTTTGCCGAAACTTCTCAAGTATCTAAGAAAGCAACCATTATATTTGCCTTTTAATCGATTCAGTTGACCCAAATTTGACATAGATCCAGATTTGATCAATTAGTTTTGAACAGAAATAAGATAGACTGGGATTTTCTTAAATGTGAAAATATAGACTTAATAGATTATCCAGTAAAAACTTAAGATCTCTACTCAATGAAATATGTGTGAAATGCTCTGGGAAGAGAAATTAAAACTTACAGGCATCCTCAGACAACCATCTCTAGACCCTGAAAATAGTGTTAGCTGCTTTATTTCTACCTTTTTTGTTTGAGAATGTATGTCTGTGAGAAGGGGGCCATAATTTGGAACAATTTTTCATTTGTTCGATTTAGTAGCTCCTGTTTCATACCTTCCAAGTCCGATGAGTGTTGCACATGATCATGCGTGTGAATGTTATCATACCTGGTGAATGTTCATTATATATGTATTGTATCAACTTATATGCATTCAAATTTCATAAAGCATTACTATTTTCCGAGTTAATTAAAGAGTGATTATTTAAAGAGTTATCCATTCTCTGGAAGTGATCCATTTGGGGGATTTGATACCGCTTCTACCCCTACAGACCCTGGTAAGCAGTTGTATAAAAATTTATTGCATTTTGGCACATCTAAATCTACTTATTTATTTTTTGCTTTTCATTTTTGAAAACTCTAGCTTTCCAAGTTCTAACTCTAGGTGAAATTGAGTAAGCTATTCCCTGCTGCTAACTTGCTACCCAATAAGTAACATTGAGATAAGTTAGTTTTTGATGCATGGACCGAAGTAGCTTGGTTGGTAGGTTACTGAGCTCATGTTCGTAAGTTCGAATCCTGCTGGCCAAAGAATCCCCGTGTATTAAATTGTGACTAGGACACTTTAAATTTGTTGGGGACACAAAGTCCTCCAAGTTCCCATAACAAATCAATATCTCCGGAAGTACTGAATTGGACTTCCTCTGGTTAAGGTCAAAATTATGATGCTTAGAGTGTGAATGGGTTCTCCCGATAAAATAGGTTGTGACGTGTGTATGGCTAAAGTCGTACTCTTGGGCTTAGATGGCGCCACTGAAAAAACAAGAAATGCTCTCTCTGCCTTAAAATAGCTTAGATTCTCATGGGAGGATTGCTGGTGTTGGCAAGTGACATTTGCTACAACAACAGTTTTTGTTGCAACAATGTGACCTGTTCAACCTTTTAACCGATTTTCAAAGTCATGCGAATATTTTCATGCCAAGCGCAGTATCTCCATTGTGGGGNTACCCCTACAAACCCTAGTAAGTAGATGTATAAAAATTTATTGCATTTTGGCAGATCTGAATCTACTTATTTATTTTTTGCTTTTCATTTTTGAAAACTCCAGCTTTTCAAGTTCTAACTCTAGTCAAAATTGAGAAAGCTATTTCCTGATGCTAACTTGCTACCCAATAAGTAACATTGAGATAAGTTAGTTTTTGTTGCATGGACCGGAGTAGCCTGGTTGGTAGGTTACTGGGCTCATGTTCGTGAGTTCGAATCCTGCTAGCCAAAGAATCCCCGTGTATTAAATTGTGAATAGGACACTTTAAATTTGTTGGGGACACAAAGTCCTCCAAGTTCTCATTACAAATCAATATCTCCGGAAGTACTGAATTGAACTTTCTCTGGTTAAGGTCAAAATTATGATGCTTAGAGTGTGAATGGGTTCTCCCGGTAAAATAGATTGTGACGTGTGTATGACTAAAGTCGTACTCTTGGACTTAGATGGCGCCACTGAAAAAACGAGAAATGCTCTCTCTGCCTTAAAATAGCCTGGATTCTAATGGGAGGATTGCCGGTATTGGCAAGTGACATTAGCTACAACAACAGTTTTTGTTGCAACAATGCAACCCTGTTCAACCTTTTAACCGAATTTCAAAGTCATGCGAATATTTTCATGCCAAGCGCAGTATCTCCATTGTGGGAAAATAGGTTTTCTGTACAGGAAAGCAAACAGATTGGAACCGGAACAGAAATTGATGTAAACTAAAGGGTTTAAGCTTAGAAAGAGCCATAGCTATTACTTAGATGGCTAAAAATTATTTTATTCTAATTATTTTAAAAACTGTATTAATACTTATTTCTTGTTTTTAGAAAAAGATCGTTTTGATCCGTTTGGATTATCTCAAGCAAATTCTAATCAAGCTCCTTCTATGGTATGTACGACTTTTTGGTTTTAATTTGTTTATGGCAAATTTTCAATTGTTCAATGATTTCATTTCACTGGGTCACTGAAGTTTCTGAAAATTTTCTTAATAGATAACAGATAAATATTCAGATTATTAATGGGTGAAATTGTCTGCATTTATAAATTTCGGTTGTTTAGTGTTTGCAACTTTATCTATTTTTAAAAAAATTAACTTTATAAAAGCAGGGTGGCCACCCACCTTGAAAACCTGGAATTAACTGGGAATTTTTTATACTGGAAAAAACCTGGAAAAGTCAGGGAATTTTTAAGAAAAGCTAGATTTTTTTTTCATGATTTAAATTTTTTTACCATCCGTTATGTCCACTTTATTCAGATTTAAAAATCGTCAAACAGTCAAAATATCATTAACTTTGCAATACTTCATTAAAATTCTCTCCATTATTACCCCGCTAAGCTAGAGTGCCATATAAAACTCTCCCATGTTGCTAAATGAATGGAGAAATCTTTAATCTCTTTGGAAATTATGGGACTAAGCAGTTAAGGAAAGTCAAAAATTGTGGGGGAGGTGGAAGAAGGGGTTAGCATATTTGCTTCTGTTCGTAAAAAGAGGATTTTTCTGTTTTTTATCTTCTAATCTGTGGGTTAAATTCATTTACTGTTTAAGTTTGTTCTGATGCTTTGGAGGTATTTTTTTTCTTTTAACAAAACGTTTCAGTATTTTTAACTTTATAAAATTCTTAAAAAAAAAATTGGTTATAATTTGATGATAGATTTTATCTTAGTCTTTTTCTGAAAGCTTTTGTACTTCCATCCAATGAATTATTTTTTCTCTGCAAAGCCAACCAATCACTCATTTTCTTGAATCGCTAACAGTAAAATCGTTACAATTATTGCATTGATGCTAATTTTCTAGATTTCATTTTAACCATTTATAATATATTTTATTCTTAAAAAAAGATTATTTTATGAATTTCTAATTTAAAATTCAAATTGTGTATTAATCACAATGTCAAAAGTTTGTAAATGTTTTGCTTACATTCCAGAAATACTTCCGAAACTGTTTCTCCTTTTACCCTAAAAACGAAGGAATGCATGGCAAACATGTTAAATGATGTATAAACTTAGAATAAAAAAAAAATAATTATATTTGTTCATTAGGAAGAAGGGAAACGAAACTTTGTTTTTTTTTGTTCTGCACTGTACTGGTACAGGTTTCAATTTGGGATGACCAAAATTTTAAATTTAATATTAAGTAAACAAGGGATCATTTCCAAGGTAAAAAACTTAGGATTTCAAAATAATGATCTGTAAATATCAGTTTTCAATAAGTTATAGGCTGTTAAATGAAAGGTTACATCATTTCAAATTTTTAACCGTAAGTGAATCTCTTACAAAGTACAGTTTGTTTGTTTATTTTTAATTTATGCAAATAATAGAAAATGGAAAAATAATTATCAAAGTGAACTATAACAAAACAGGTTATCTTGCACAAATGTGTATAAACATTTCACATTTTGATTTTTAAAAAAATTACTACGTAAAATTTACATGCGACACCAAAATACATAATTGATTGTATTGAGTCACTCGATTTAACATAATTAAATTATTTTTCTGTTTAAAAAGCAAGATTTTGATAATAAATATTTTTATTGTATATTCATAATTCATTATATTTACATCGGACACCACTGCCTTTCTTTTTATTACATTTGTTTTTATTTATTTCCATCTCTTATTTCGCTTTTTCTTTATAAAATTAAGTGAAATCTGAATAGAAACCATCTTAAATATTCCTTTAGGTTAATTTACAATAACATATTTCTCTTCTGTAATCTACTAAAATTTGTTTAACTGTGCTGTACTTTAAGTTATTTATATTATAACTTAAAATTGATCAATGAAGTTTTTATGTATTTTTTTATTTTCATTTTTTTATTTGATCTACTTAACTCAGTTTTAATTTTTTGAGAAGCAATTTATCTTTATTCAGAACATTTTATATCAATCATTTTGCTTAACACCTGAAAAATGTATGTATTTACAGAAAAAAATTTCAGAACATTTTGTAGTTATTTACTTTTTGTTTATTTATTTTTTATTTTATTTATTATTATTTTTTTTTTTTTTTGTTTCGGAAAAAATTCTTTTTGGAAAGAAATAATAAACCTACTTGCTTAGCAAATTACACAATAACACACATCCTATTCATTTTTTAGGTAAATGGAATAAAATTGTTAGCAGTTATTGGGTCTGTAATTAACAAATGAAACTAGAGAAGGGGTATTAAAAAGAGATTAAAATTGGTTCTAGAATTGATAAAAAAAATTTTTTTCATAAGTTGGGCGCATCTCTTGTACTACAACCGGAGACTTATACTCTTGTTCACCGCTAGCTATACCACTAAATACAAGTAAAAGTAATATTAGTTGATATCGTATGCTTTGAAACATGAAATAGAATAGATTGTAAGAGCTGTACAAAATTATTATTTAATTTTATGCTGGCAATAAATAAAACTATTAAATTATCATTTTTCCTATGCAGTCTTTTTTTCCCAGAAAAAATTGTTATAGGCTAATAATACGGTAAAAAAAAAAATTTTTTTTTCCATTTAATGTACAGTGACCTTTTTTTTCAATAGATTTGTTTTTAAATTTTATATTAAAATAATGAAACTTTTCTGTATTCTTTTCCATATTACTAAAAAAAAAAATAGCAGCAGCTTTCTTTGTTCCAAGATTTTTGAAACTATTCAATTTATGAAATATTGCTTATATATAAATTTTATTTACGTTGTTTATGTAGCACAGTTGAAATTATAATGTTTGATTTTTCAAGTAACTTTTACAAGATGGAAAATATTATAAAACCCATTGATCCATTCATTCCAACAGGAAATATTAGACATTTTAAATTTAAAGTAGATATCTAATTGAAAAATAATGTTTATAGCATTAAGATTAAATGATTTTCAGTCATTATAATATCATTAACTAAAATTTATATCCATCTGGAAAACTTTATGTCTGACACTGAAGCAAAAAATTTCAACTTAATTATATATCATATTTTACAAGTTAAGAACTGCATAGAATTTTTTATGGCAGTGTCAACTTCAAAATTCAGTCATGTTTACATTTAAATTATAAACAAATTCATAGAGTTCAGACAATTATCTATCAATTAAATAAGTAATTGTTTATTGCTTTTGTGCGATTTACATTCGACACTCACAATTTAATCCATTTAGTTTGAACTTATTGTAATCAGTTTGTTTAAAATAAATTGTTTTTCGATTGGTTATGATGTAATAATATTTATTATAAAAATTTGATGATTATAACTTATGTTTCATAAGATGGTTTTTCTAAAAAATTCATGTTAATTTTTCATGTCTGACACCATGGAATTGCCCATTTGTAA